CAGCTTTTCGCAGCGCATTCGGCCGTGCCTGCGTTAGCCGTGTTGCAGCTACTACGGAAGGACTTGAGCCAGCAGCAAGCTCAAATTCTGTTTAAGAACCACAGGCATTGTCTTCAGATGGGAACATGTAGTTTTGGTCGGCGCGGGCGAGCAGCGTACGCATTGCGCACAGGTACCGAGGTGCAGCGTCTCAGGCTGGATTTCAGCCAACAAAGCCTCAAGAGCTGCTGCACAACCACCGGTGTGTCTTCAGTTGGGCACGTGTAGTTTTGGTCGGCGGGGTCGAGCATCGTATGCATTGCGCACAGAAACCAAGGTGCAGCATCTCTGTAACATCGCCAACATATCCGGTACGCGGTGGCAGGCTTGCCGAGCACGAAATGAAGGGGGGTCGCATCTCACCATTCAACTAAGCATGCATGTGCTCGGTTGAATGCTCGGTAGCATGCGAGTTTACCTATCAGGATGTTTGTTTGCATATATCCCTCCAAGCGAGAGGGCTTGGACCTATGCTGATGTTCGTTACAAGAAGTGAACTGAGGACTGATGCTACACGTCATGTATACGCGTTGCTTAGCTTGCAACGAGACGCGCCCACGATGAAAGCTTCAGCTACACTCACAATACATTATACTGCTACACTATTCTCTCCAGTCCTACCACATTATATTTCACCGACATACTTCCGCACCTTCCACATCACCATACGTGCTTTGGAAACGCGGGCAGCTGCTTCACAAGGGCCCCCATCTTTATGAAGAAACACCTCTCACAGGTTTAACGGATTTCAATTCCAACGTAATGCCGTACAACTAGTGTCCTGTTAGAGGGCAAGTGGCGGGAGATAAATCCACTTGCGCTAGGTTTCCGAAAGTGGAACTACAATCTGATGGCCATGAAAGGTGGCTTGCACTGATGCCATAGGGTCTTGATCATTGCTGAGCCGGCAGGACGAGCACGGAAAGGATTCACCAAGAGAAGGGCCGCCTTCCCTACCTGCAAGCATCTTTTTGTTACTTGGAACGTATCGACTTGGATTGGTATGGAGCAGGTGGACCAGCAAAAGGCAGTCAGCGGCGATGTTTGCCTGCAGGAGGAAGAGGAAGAGCGGGCTGCCCAAGCGCGGTGCGACAAATTGTCCACATATTAATCGCATCATTAATGTTGTCCAGGGAAAAAATATGCGCAGCTTTAGTAACGCGTAGGACGAGCTGTAATTTGGCTGGGCGGTCCGCTTCTTACAGCCTAATACAAAGCCGTCGTTTCTTATGATCAGACTTTTGCCACGGCATGCCTTTCTCCTCCAATGCGAAGTCTTCTCCCTTTTTCCGCCTTCCCCCTTCACCTCCTTCTGCTACCCCTGCCTGCAGCATCATCTTGGCCTTCCGCGACTATCAGCATTCCGCCGAGTGGGAGGTGGCGCGCTGGCAGGCCAACTACGAACAACTTTCCCCCCACCACAAGCGCCTGCTTCCCCACCAGACTGCCAAATTCGCGGAGGCACGGCGCGCGATACACACCAACATGTTTTTCATCAAGGCGCTGCTGCAGGCCTTTGATCCAGATTGCGCTGCGGGGCCGCTACCGCCCCACCTGGCCCTGCCCCGCACTGCAGCAGGAAAGCATAGCATTGGCAGCGGAGACGGCGGTGGGGGGGAGGGCAAGGTGGAGCGGCATCAGCAGCAGGAGAAGGAGGAGGAGCAGGAGGGTCAATACCGAGTCAATGCAAATGACGTGGACAAGGTGAGAGCAAACGGAGCGGGGTGAGGCAGATGAGGGAGGTAATGTGCGTCCGCGGAGAGCTACGGATTGTGGTCAGGTCCCATGGGACAGCGGTCGAGGCGAGGCTGGGGGTGTGGGGTAAGGCCCTTTGGAAGGACAGCGACACGTGGCCTTGGATGGGCTTCGTGAGCCGCACAGAGCTTTACTTCGGTTCGATTGGCCCAGTGTTCAGGGTCCGAGCTCGAGTGGAGCTGGGGGATGGCCTATCTAGCCCCCACCCTACCCCCCTACCCCCCAAACCCCTAACCCCCACCCCATCCTCTCAGGTTCGATACGTGTTGAAGAACTTGGTGCGTGACTGGTCGGCAGAGGGTGAGGCCGAGCGAACGATGTCGTATGGCCGGATTCTGGACGAGCTTAAGGTCATTTTCAAGGACTGGTACGGCAGGCAGATATTTCGGGGGTCGCATCTGAGGGGATGACTGCATGTAGTCCCCCCTCCCCCTCCCGTGGGTGTGGGGTGTGTGTTTGTCGCGGTCGATTGCATGGGCCACATCCTGTCCACGAGGAGAAGCTCTCCGTACACACCGCACGACGCGACACGTACGACAAAGTAGAAGACTCGGCGTGGCTGACCCGTGGCCTGCCCCGGAAGGGGTTTGCATCCCTCGCCTGACCTCCCCACCGTTTCACCGCCTGTGTGGTGTAGCCTCTTGCCCGCCCCCGCCCCCACCCCCACCCCCACCCCCACCCCCACCCCTGGGGCCTGTCTCCCTACGGCCCCAGGTCGCCCCCGGGGTCCCCCCGGCCCCCCCGGGTGCTAATTCCGGGGGCGGGTCTGGCTCGCCTGTGTGTGGAGGTGGCGGCGCTGGGCTACGAGGCGCAGGGTAATGAGTTCAGCTACTTCATGCTGCTGGCGTGAGTGACCGCGTCCATGTGTGTTTGAGCTTGTGTGTGAGGCAACGTGTATGTGTTCGTGGGGACGCACCCACTGCCCCCGTTGCCCCCTCGTCCCCACCGCCATCTCCTCCAGGACCGCACCTTGATCCTCGCAGCCTGGACCGCTACCCCATCCGACGCCGCCCCCTCCCCCCGGTTCACTTTGGCGATTCGCGCGCATTAGTAGTAGTTGCTCCTCTTGCCACTGCTACTGCTACTACTGCTGCTACTACTGCTGCTGCGATTTGCACTCGTGACTATTTATTACTGCCGGCTGTGCGGCCGCTGTCTTCGCGGTGCGGTGCCCCCCGTGCAGCTCCTCCTTCATTCTGAACTACACCTCCGAGCGGCACCAGTTCACTGTGCACCCCTGGCTGCACTCCAACTGCAACCACCTAACTGATTCGGACCAGCTGCGGGGGGTGGCCGTACCGGATGTCGTACCGGGGGAGATGGTGGCTGGGCAAGGACTGCTGTCCATGTGCGCTGGGGACTTCGTGGTAAGTGGCTGGGAGGAGATGGGATGGGATGGGGTTGCGGTTTGGTGGTTGTGGTGGCTGGGATCGAAGTGAAGAAGGGCGATGTCGGCGATGATGTCGGAGAATGTGTGTGTTTGTCTACGGAAGGGCTCAGAGGCTGGGGCCGTGGTGGGCAGCAGCCCTTACAGAGCAGTGTGATCAGGACATGAGGACATCTTACCCCATACGCATTCGTCCTCCCCTCCCCTCCTCAACGCTCTCCCCCTTGCCCCGCCTCTGACCGCCCCTCTCCCTGCCCTTCCCGCCGCCAACCCTTCTTCCCCCGACTCCTTCAACGGCTCGTTTCTTTTGACGTCGAAAGCTGACTCTTCCACGGCTGTTTGCTGTGTGTATTTCCCCACCACCACCACCACCATTGCTTGCCCCCCACCCGGCTCGACCCGGCCCGTTCAGGAAGTCTACTCCGCCCCCGACATGAGGGGGTTGTTCGACTGTGTGGTGACGTGTTTTTTTATTGACACGGCACACAACGTGCTGAGGTACCTGGAGGTCATCTCGCACACGCTGGCCCCGGGGGGCAGCTGGATAAACCTGGGGCCGCTGCTGTACCACTGGGCGGACGCACATACATACCTACCAGTAAGTGTACGACAACAGGGCGCGGCGGGGAAGGGGAGTACGACGAAGCACAGGCGATGGATGGATGCTCCAGGGGAAGACGTGCGTGGAAGGTGTGGGGTAGGGAAGGCGGAAGGGAGGGGGAGAAACGTGTTTACTTGGGGCTGGCCGGCGCAGCTTTGGCCACCCAGCCGTTTCCTGGTCTGCCAGTCTGCTCTTTCCCTTTCGTTTTGATCCTCCCGTCATTGTTAGGTGTTAGGCCGCTGCTTTGGCAGCGTCTTTGTCTTGTGCTGCTCGGTGCTGTGTGTGTTGGGCTATGTCGCGGTGAACTGTGCTATGCTGTCTTGGACATGTTTGTCCTGCACTGCACTGCGCCGTGCCGTACCACTGCCGTACTGACTGTGTGTAAGTGTTTTCCAGACTCCGGAGCTATCCGTGGAGCTCTCCCTGGAGGACATCCGGGAAGCCGCCAGGGCCATGGGCTTCCGACTTGTACGGGAGGAGAACCTGGACGTGCCGTACATGGGTGAGGCACACGTGGGCGTGTGTGTGAGTGTGTGTGTGGTCTGGGGCGCCCTGGATTTTGCTGTCGGGGGAATTGCTTCTTATTTTTTCACCTCTTCTTTTCCCAGCCTTTTTTCTTCCGTAAAAAAATGATCCTTAGGAAAATCTTTCTTGAAGGCTACTTACACCCACACCACACCGCCATTAACCGCCTTCTAACCCCCCTTTTTTCTTCCCTCTCTCCCCTCCGTATGTGTGCGCCTCCCCCTTCCGCAGCCGACTACCGCTCCATGTACAAAACTGTGTACCAGGCGGTGTTCTGGACCATGGTGAAGGAGCGGGAGTGTGAGCACCAGCAGCAGCAAACACCGCCCCAGGCACCGGCACCAGCAGTGCCACCACCACCACCACCACCACCGCCGCGGCCGCGCTAGGGGCGCTTAGGGGTGCTTAAAGTCGGTTTCCTGTTCTAAGGTTGGAATGGATGCACAGGCCGAGTTGGTGACGGTTGGTGGTTGAGCGGTTTACGGTTGGATGGTTGGTTGAGTAGGGAAGGGGGTGTGTGGGTGTGTGTTTTAGCACACGCCATTGCACCGCTCATTGCACATCGCAGTCGCTCCCGAGCTTTTGATGGGTTGTCGGCGTAATTGCCTACCTGCCTACCTACCCACCCGCCTACCTATTGGTAACTGGCGGTGGTGTGGCCGCGGTGGTGGTGTGCGCTGCAGTGGCAGTTCACAACGTGATGCCTGTTGATGCCCCACAACTGCCCGGACGGTCGGGACGGTCTGGAGGTGCGGGGGAGGGGGGGTGAACCGCACATACATACATACAGCTGTTAGCTGTGTGTCCGCAGGAGAGAGCGAGAGCGTGAAAGCGTAATGGGCATAAGCTATTTTCCAAGAGCGCGGACGAGATACTAAATTTGAAATATACATATCTATATCTCCCTTATGTTAAACCAGGTATATAACTTACATCCCTTTCTTCCTGTTTAAGAATTAAGAACATTTGATGTTTAAAAATGATAGACTTTCTAGTCCTGTGGGGCGTTTTTGCCCTGGTGAATTCGACACTTCGGCCCCAGGATGGTGGTAACAGTTGGTGGTTGCAGGTTTGGGGCGGCAGTTGGTGGTTGCAGGTTTGGGGCGGCAGTTGCAGGGGCCCCGGTTCCCATGTCTGTCGCATATATGCAACTGAAACTCACATTGTGGACGGGCTGCAGGTGCGACAAGGCATCTATACCTTGGTATACCTCTGGGGAGGTGGTGGCGGGGAGGCTTGACTCGGACAGTATTTGGATGGGGCGTGTGGTGACGCCTGAACGGGGGGTTGTGATGGCGTGCTGTGTTTTCGGTCGTCAATGCGGGTAGGTGTAGATAGGTGTGTAGGCAGGTTGAGAACCTATATGCTTGCTGTTGGGCGGCTCGCGCAGAGACCGTGTATGTGTGTATGTATGTGTGTATGTATGTGTGTATGTATGTGTGTATGTATGTGTGTATGTATGTATGTGTATGTATGATGTGGGACAGAGGGGCATATCTTCACCCGTGGCCGCTACCCGGCGAAACCCTGCCTTTCCCGTGTTTCGGGGCACCCTCATCCAGTCACCCTAGTCAACTTCTCAGTGGATCGCTTAGGTTCCGCTCTCGCCACCAGCATCCAACGGAATCTGCCAGGTCGATGGCGGCCCATTTCCACTCGTGCATCACTTAATCCCAGGTCACCACCGTCCATCGACTAGGGGCACTTTACCTTCCACCATCGGAAGGATTTTAGACCCTGAGTCAGGGTCTCGATCCCGGGGCAATGGTCCGTGTCTTACCAGTAGTGCCTAACCTGAGTGTGTGTATGTATGTACGTGTGTATGTATTTAAATGAACTGAGCCGCGAGATGTAAAGGTTGAAGAAATCACATGACGAACTTTACCGAAACAAGTAGTCCACATGTGTATGTGTGTAAGTGCATGAGAGATAGGGAGATAGCGAGTGCGGCAAGAAGTGGTGGATATCTGGGGCACATGAGGGGCTCTCGAGGTAAAATCGCGGGGCATGTTGCATTTCTATGTGGCCGGACGGCTGTGTGCGTGTAGTCTTTGTGTCGTACATCGGCTTGATGGTGGTTGTGATGATGGTGCGAAAGTGTTTAGGTAGGTATGTGGAACCGCTGAGCGGCTTGACTCAACCGCTGGGCGGGAAACGAGCTTCGCACTTTGCGGATTGCGGATCATGTGCGTTGGTTTCTTGGGTAGTACTTGGAGACTCGCGGATGATCTGATGCAGACGGAATATTCGCCTTTCGATAGCTGCACCTTGCCCTCTTCATCAGAGATCTGATCTCGGTCCATGGCAGCGCTAGTAATATTTTGTATCGTTGGAGCATGCGCTGTGCGGAATGTGCCCATGCCGCGATGTGGGACAAGGTGCAAAGCAACAGCAGCAGAATCCGAAGGGGCAAGAGGACGAAGAGCCGCAATTGCAACGTATGGGAAGTCGGCCAAGCACAAGAGCAGCCTTGCATTCCCTGTAAAATTAAGCGATGCAGAGAGACACGTGGTATGTAGTCCTTTTCAGCTGTAATGGTACGATTGTGGATCGCGAATTCGTCATGAGCTTTTGCCGTTGCATCGTTACAGCCGTACGCAACAGGTTTCGGAGGAATTGTAGAACAGGCATCACCTAGCAGCACCATCTGGAACAGGTGGATCAGGCTATTCGGATGTCACCTTACGCTTTTGCAACAACCCACAAGACACCGCTTCAGATTCCGAAACCACCTTTTTTGGGTGTTAGGCGGGTACTCGGCAAGGTGCATGATGCATAGCTGCTACAGTGCAGAAGATTAATTACACGTTATCGTCCAGTACGCTGACACCTCAAAAACATGACCCGATTGAAACATGGCAAAGGGAATCGGAAACAAAATTTCCACCAGGACCAATTTAAAGAACACGAGAAAGCGTCGCCAATTTCAGCTGACCCGAACGGTGGTGCGGCTCGAAGGGATGGAGAGGGCGCGAAGGCGGACGTCATGCCCAAGCGACCGATGGAGCTGGCCCCGGCGAATGCGCCGCTATCTGAGGATATCCCAAATCGGCCGTCAAGGAGGAGCCAAACATGGATGTCATACCCCGCCACCCTTAGCGGTGCGGGCGGTCCTGCGGCCGCCTATTCCGATGGTTTCGAGTCGCTCCTAGACGGACTGACGGGCGCTGAGCTGCACACCGCCAAACAAATCGTCCAGGCCCTTCGCTCTCCAGAGGTGTGTCACGATGCAGGGCAGCCCTGGCTCTTCTGCTGCGGTTCCTGTTCCCGTGCGTGCGTTCCCATGCACAATTGGACAATTCTCGCCCGGACGCTTTTCCTCCTGCCGCCTGGCTACCTATCACTCGCTACTTTTCCAGATTGATCTGCATGATTTCATATTGTCCTATCGATGATTTGCTTGCCATCAGGACCTGTCTCGGCTGCGCCGCCTGGCTGTCACACACGGCTTCATCAACGACCGCATCCGTGCCGTCGTCTGGCCGCGGCTCCTTGGTCTGACCCCCCTCGGCGAGGCCGGCTTAAAGCTAGGCCAGCTCTCCTGCCTGCCACCTTCCCCGCTGGCGAACCGGCCCCACTCGGCCACTGCCTCTCAATCCCCAAACAACCCGCCACAACCACAACCACAGCCGCAGCCGCAGCCGCAGCTGCAGCGCCATATGGCTACGTCGCCCGCTTCTACCTCCACCTCCGTACATGCCTCATCCCAGGTGTCCGCCTCGGCTGCTCGGCAGCTCCCCAGCTCACCGCCGCTGCCACCGCCGCAGCAGCAGGGGTATATCCCCGTGGAGCCCCCCGTGGAGCCCCAGACCGCCGTGCAGCCGGCCACGGGATTCACGCGGCCCGACAGGCCACTCTCCCCCTCCTGCACCTGCGGGTCCCCCCTCAGCGCTCGCCAGTCACTCTCCCGACCTTGCAACCCATCTAGCAGTGGCTTACTGCCGAAGCCCTCGGCAGACGTAGAGACATCGGAAGTGGCGGAGGCGGCGGAGGCGGACAGGTGGTCATTACGAGCCGCTAGGGAGAGTTGTGGCGGAGGGAGCGGCGATGGGGTTGCCGAGGGCGGCGAAGACCGTGCGCTTGGAGAGGGGGCCGTGTTGAGGCTTAGGTCGAAAAGCTGCGGAGCCGCACCGTCTTCTGATACCGGCGGCGGCGGCGGCGGCGGAGACAGCAACAACAGCACCGGCGGCGGTGGAAGCGCCAGCGGCGGGGCCACACCTCACAGCAGCTGCGGCGGCGGAGGCGCTACCGCCGCAGCCGCGACTTCCGGTGGCAGTAGCGGAGGCGGTGGCGGTGGCGAAGCGGCGAGCAGTTACCCCACCCACGTCCATCATGAGATGGACTGCTCTATCCCTGTTGCCTTACAAGAGCAGGAGAGAGTGATGGCTCGGGAGGGAAGCACTCACGGGACGGGTCAGGACCGTGTATCGGCCGGGGGGGGGTGTAGTCACGTGACGGATCGGGACCGAGATCAGAGTCGCGACCGGGGCAAAGATCGCGACCTTTCAGACTCCCGGAACTCTCAACGAGGCTGGAATAGCGACAGGGACCGGGGCTCATGGGCGGGCGACCCGCGGGTCGGTGGTGAATGGGACTGGCAGCAGTACATGCACTGGTCTAATCAGCCTCACCGGGACTCTGCGGTGGTGGAGGTAGATGTGGCCCGGTCGTTATGGGCCTTTACGCGGGACCACAGCGAGGAGCAGCGGGAGGCGCGGAGGCGGCAACTGAAGCGGCTGCTAAACGCGGTGGTGGCGGCGCATGAAGGTGAGTAATCCTTTGAGATTATTCTGACGTTTTTAGATTTGGGTGGGTTGCTGAAGGAGTCCAGTGTTTATGCGGTTTGAACTGCTTGAACATACAGACATTCCGACGTGCAATGACGAGTTCACCGGATGCTTTCGTACGGATGCTTTCTTACGCATTTAATGCAGCATTAAGTAAATAATGTCTCTCTCTCTTTTTCTCTCTCTCTTCTCTCTTTTAACTTCCTACCGCACATGGGCTCGATTACAAATGGACTTAGTCAGATGAGCGTGGTCTGTCTTTCCTTCGTGCGCCCGTCATCGCCTCTTGACGAATGCAATTGCACGCGGATGGGCGCAGAGAGCCAGGTATAATGTGGTCGGCATTCAACAATGTTTGGTGCACTACAGTAGCCTTCCTTCGTTATGGCTGTGGTATATTGACGATCGCAATGTGGCGTCATCGTGTGTGACGTTCGCTCTGCCGTCCCCCTGCCTCCCCCGGCGGACCACCACCACCACTACCACCACCACCTAGGTGATGTGTTCTACTACCAGGGCCTCCACGACGTGGCCAGTGTACTGCTCATGTCCATGCCGGGAGCGCCGCCGCAACTGCCCTCCCTGGAGAACCCACCGCCGCCTTCGCTGATACCGCCGGAAGAGCAGCAGCAGAGGGAGCAGCAGATCATGAGCTGCCACATGGATTCGGAGACAACGGCCGCAACCGCATGCCGTACGACGGTGCCGTCGCGTCCTGCGGATACCGATACCGCCAACCTGACGTCCTTGATAGCAGTCCCTGATCTCGATCCCGACGCTGTCAACGCCGACGCCGCTCGCGGGGAGCTCCTGGCATTTGGGCTGCTTCGCCGCCTGGTCACCACACACTTGCGCGACGCTACACGACCGTCCCTGGAGCCTGTCGTACAGCTGCTGGGCCTGGTGCCGTACCTGGTTCGTGCTGCTGACCCAGTGCTGGCCCGCCGTATGGGCGAACTTGGCCTGCAGCCTTTTTTTGCGCTGTCGTGGTTTCTAACTTGGTGGGCACACGAGCTCGACCAGCTGGCACACGCGGCTCGGCTGTACGACTTTTTCATTGCCAGCCACCCGCTGATGCCGCTGTACCTGGGGGCCGTGGCGATGCGTAGTCAGCGGGCCGCGCTCCTGGCCTGTGAAGAGATGCCTGAGCTGCACTCCGCCCTAACGAATTTGAAGTTGGTGATGGTGGCCGCATCTGGCAGCAGTCGCGGCGGCGGCGACGGCGGCAACGGCAGTGGATATGAAGGGCGAGGCAGGGGAAGAGGCACCAGCGGCGGTGGCGGGAGAGGGAGGGTGGCGCTGGAGATCCTGCTGCGCCAGACTGAACAGCTATGGCGCGCTAAGCCACCGCACGTGATGGTGCCGCCGCTTCTGAGGTCAGCGCCGGCGCCGGCGCCGCCATCCCCGCAGCAACAACACCAACAACGACTGCAGCAGCAGCAGCAGCAGCAGCAGTTGCTGCGGCAGCGACGCGGCCGCACTCGCGGCAGCGGCGGTGTAGGGGACAGCGGCGGGTCTGCAATAGCTTTGACGACGTGTGTGGCACACGCCGCCCGAATGGAGGGTCGGCCTGCCTTGTGGCGGGTCCCCGCTGAGGCCCCGGTGGACTGGGCGGACGGTACGTTGGGGACCGCAGAGTACGGGGGATTCCGGTCGGGTCTGGGTCGCATCCTGAGCCTGGGCGCCAGATCGCGTGCGGCGCTGCTGTCGACGGCGCTGCTGGCAGGGGTGTATGTTGCGGCGGCAATGGCGATCGGATACGCCACGTTTTCGCGTTCAACAGCACTGGAGAGCGGACAGATGTGAGGGAGAAGGCTGCTGTAGCTGTTGCTACTGCTGGCGCTGTTGCTGCTATACATTTCGCTGTCGTGGGTTAGGTTCCCTTTCCCTGTGTATGTGTGTATGCATGTGTGTGTATGTGTCTAGCGGTGTGACGACACATCTACATCTACGGGGGTCGAGGGGGGTAGGGCGGTCATGCGGACAACGCGGCGGCGGAAGCTGTGCAGTGGCCAGGGTGTTCGGTGGTTAGGCAGTTGAAGGCCGGTCGGGTGCATGCTGGTGGTGAGGCTGCCTTTCCAGTCCTGCGCCCACCCGGCTCCGGGTTTGGAGCTCCTGTAGGGACCAGGTTGAGGATTCTCCTCATTTGCATGGTGGACGAGATGAGGTGGACGATGCAAGGCGGCTAGTCCCAGGTGGACAGTGTACAGGATCAGGCAGGACGACAGCCTCTGCGGGCTTATGCTTTCTTATGCAGATGGGAGACAACCACGGTGGTGCCACAGCAGCACCGGTTTGGGATTTAATAAAAATTCGCGGCGAGGTGGCCCCTTGCGCTTAGTTGATGACAGTGTGACCCTGCGGGTCGCTGCAGGGAAAACGGGCGTTGAGCTGCCCTCCGACGAGTTCGGGCCAACGGTGATGGCTGGGAATCAAGGTGTAGTTCCAGTGCCCCACAGTCACGCTGGCCCTAGCACAGCACAGCACAGCACGTCAACGAAGATTGGGTCGTGTAAAGGACTTGAGACGTCACTTAACTGCCCTCCCTCAATTGTTTTCTGCTTTTGGTACAAGTCGATTTAGGTCCCGCCCCCGAATATGGAAGATAGATCAGCCCAGGTTCTCGGAATTTCCGAAATCCGATTACTACATCTGCAGCTGACATGACGCAGTGACAAAAAACATATCACCGTCGATCAGGGCAGGAGCCTTAGGCGGAATATATCCATCCTTGCAACATTGCAGCCTGCTTCCAAAGTCGCAGGTTCCGCAAACCCTCACCGATTGCAATTATGTTCGGGCAGCGCTGGTTGCTTAGCTCCTCCAGAACTCTTGTGTACATCGACAAATCGCCGTGATGCACATTTGATTTGGATAGCACGAAGTCAATTTGCGAGACAGCGGAAACCGAGCAACACAGAACTCAGATGCTGCCTTAGCCTGTCTGCAGCCATGGTATTCATATGGAGTCCCATATAATCATGGGTTATTTCCCCCTCCCAAGCCATACGGTGCAGAAAACACAGTGAGAAAAACTTTCCATCGGCACGAAGAAATATTCAGGTAATATTATCAAAGCAGTTCCGTGGAGCCGGCGTTGTTTTTGTCTACAAGCACTTCTTCAATCGGGCGCATTTTTCAAATGGGTTTTTCAAATCCGGCCTTGCTTCAGAGCCTGCCGTTTATGAAGCTCGTTTTATTTTTGTAACTGACGAACTGCCCCTAACATAGCTAACAGCCAGGATTGCGTTCGTACCAGTACTCCATATTCCACTTGCAGCCTGGCAACGCCAATGCTCGGTTGTGCTCGCAGACTGGTTCAGGGATCATATCCTCCTGTCAGATTACAAGGAATGGATCTCTCAGGAAGGCGTTGTGTTGAGATTATGACTTGGACATAACCCGGGCTTGACATCGGCAGCTCGGCATAGCCGTTGGCCCGCCTCGCGCTAAATCCTCGCAAAGGTCAAAAGGAAGTCTATTTGTTATTTGCGATTTCCACCCATGGATGAATTCGACGGGGACAGGGAAGGGCCAACAGTTTTCACTGACACAGTCGACGGCACATTCAGGTGGGCTCGTCCGCGCCCAAACCACATACCATACCTTGTTCCCGGCTTTACCTGGCTTCCTTTCCCCTCAACCCGCGCCCACTCCCGCGTCTCCTCCGCCCTCCCAAACTCGCACATCATCCTCCCCAATAAAGCATCCAAAGCAACAGCACGCACGCCACCGCTTCCCTCCTAAGCTCAGCTCCTTGGCACTGGCAGTGCGATGCCGCTGACTCGCCCTAAGCGCAGCCCAGCTGATTGCCCAGACACGGCCACTTGGCAACCCTGGGTGCGGCTCTCCAGCGGGGAATCCCTCCGCGGAAGCAACAAGATAGATGCCTTACTTAGATTACAAGGGAAATCTCAGCTATTCCCTGTTCCTGGGGCTGACAGACACAAGGGAGAGCGCCTACAGCTTTCATCTTATACACATTTCCCCCCTGGCCCCCCCCTTCCGAGCGCCGTGACCAAGTCAGTCCATCCCTACCTACCTACCTACTTACCTGCCTGATATGCTTGCCTGCCCCGTCTTAAGTCCCGTCTTAAGGCCCATTGCCTTGCCGGCAGCCTGCACCCTTACTGCATCAAGGTCATCGACACACCGCCCTTCCAGCGGCTACGTGTTTTGTCCCAGTTGGGGGTCACCAAGTTCGTGTTCTCCGGGGCGGTGCACAGCCGCTTCGAACACTCACTGGGCACGGCGCATAAGGTGGGGTTAGGGAGGTGGGGGTGGGGACGTCGAGGGAAATGAAGAGAGAGAGAGAGAGAGGACCCTGATGTGGTGATTGCTAAGGGGGAGGGGAACCTGGGGCCGCCGCTAGGAAGGGGGTGAGCCCTGAGCCCGGGGAGTTTGGGGTTCGGGGACCCCCAGGGCGTGGCCGTCGCGTAGTGACTTAGATCCATATGATGGGTTTCGGAGCTGGACTAGTTAACGCTGCGTTTGAGGACTGCGCTGGACGGGCAACCCTGCGCACCAGGGGCCATGCAGACTTTAACAGATATCGAGGTGTTTATCCATTCCATTGATGCCCATGACAAGGATTGCCGGTTGCGCCGGCCCGATTGGTGGTCCGTACACTGCTGGACGAAAGCATGAGAATGGGGGACAGTGAGCTCACTAACTTGCTGTTTGTTGATGATGCATCACTCTTAGCCACCGGATACGAGCGGGCGCAATGCCTTCTCGGTTTGCTCGAGGCGTTTTGCAAGGCGACGCAGCCAAGTGTGAGGTGCTGTGGTCTTCAGGGGCACACCTACTGGGCGGAGGTCGCTCGTGGGGTCCGTGTAACGGCTGGGTGGGGCGATGTTGAGTGTATAGCCCCATAATGAAACTGCGCAGTACCTCGGGATGCACTACGGGACAGGCCAACGGTTTGCCGCCTGCTCTAACCAGCTACTTGCGGCAGGGATACATGCCACTTTTGGCCTCAGTGTTCTCTGTCGCGACAGGGAAGAAATTACCGTACCCAAGCGCACAACACGTCCCTTTATAATGCGCTTAAGACGTACTTGTCTTCTCCCTCGGGACGCAAGTATGGTACTTCAGTATCATTGGGCTATAAAACTTACTGCTTATGTTTCGGAACGCCTTAGTGAGAAAGCCGTGAGCACCCAGTGTTCCAGAGCTTTTGTCGCTGACCTGGGCCTGGCACTTGGCCGCAACACCGAATGTTGGGCCAGCAAGGTCAGTCACGACCTTTCTTACCAGCCTGGGTGTAGGGCCCCCGGCTGGTTTGCAAGCGGATGATCTATTGGCGCATTGTGCTAGCCTCCGTGGGGAGCCTCCTGAGGGGGTTTGTGAAGAGGCTTGACGCACAGTGGACGTGCGAGAACACGAACACCTTGGATGGACCCAGGGGGCTCCCCACCCCCCCGGGGGTCAGCGGGGTCAAGGCGAATGTCGTTACCATAATTGTATGGGGGCACTGCCCTGTGAGGGGGCACCGCACCCTGGGTGGCTCGCTCATCAGGGAGACCGGTCTCGCCCAGCGATTGCACCAGGTCCTTATGTGCTTTAGGTTGGGATGTTGGGAGCTCTAGAGGTTAATAGGAACAACGACCCTGAGCGCGCAGCACGTACCTGCAGGCTTTGTGATTGCAGAGCGGTGTAATATGATTTACACGTGTTTGGAGAATGCCCCGCTTATGATGGCTTGAGGGCTAAGTATGGGGGTGAACTGATGATGGGTTTCAAGGGGCGCAGCATGCGCACCGTCATATGACAGAGGCTCCCCCGCTGGCATTATAGCTTTATTACAGCTTTCTTTCCGAGGTCTGGCAGACTAGGAGGCACGCAGCGCTAAACGGCGCTTCACGCTCAAACGGGCCGGGAGGATGAAGACAATCGCCCCACCGACACCGTAACATTTACTTTTATGAACAGTCCATGGCTCCCCGGTTTTGACGAACCCCTCGCACCTGGACTACCCTCTATCTGCTCCGCTCGCCGGTGGTTCGTCTTACCTCCCTTCTCGCATCTGTGCGGGCGCTGTAACTGTAACTGATAGGAGGACAGACAGACAGACAGATAGACTGGCGTGTACGAAAGCAGACGCATGGTCTTTGACACATCCCCCCATTCCAAGGTTGGCAGACTGTGTTGCATCCAGTGTCTAGTCCAGGATCTGCGGATTGTGTACAGACGCTGTTTAGCGGCGCCTGCCGCCATAGATATATACAGACACATACAGAAGCACACACATCCTTCACACACACTCCCGCTCGCCCTGTGCCGGGGTAAAACTTACTGCCTACCATGACGCACAACAGATTCCCTACCTCTCCCCCTTTCGGTCGGGTTACTTGGACTTCCCCCCGAACCCCCCCCCTTCCCGATTTACTTCTCCTTGCCCGACGGGGTTTTGCCTCGGCCTGGGCTCGCGCCGCGCCTGTACGGCAGTCGTACAAGGTCGCCCGCGCCATCTTCAAGCAGCAAGGCGGCGAGAGGGCGGCAGCGGCAGAAGGCTTGGGTGTGGACATGGAGGAGGTGGATGTCAAGTATGTCACATTGGCAGGTGGGAACGGAGGACACACAGAGGCAGCGGACCGACACGTGCGTGTGCGTGTGTGTGTGTGTGTGTATTAGAAAGCTGAGCTGTGTGGGGAGAACCCCGCCGTGTACATGTTTGTGTGGGGGTTGTGTGGGGGAGAGGCTGCCGGAAGGCAAGCGCTAGTGTATCTATATGATGTGGGGGAAAGGGGGGTATATCTTCACCCGTGGCCGCTACCCGGCGAAACCCTGCCTTCCCCGGTATTCCGGGGCACCCTCATCCAGTCATCTTAGTCAACTTCTCAGTGGATAGCTTAGGTTCCGCACCCACCACCAGCATCCAACGGAATCTGCCGGATCGACGGCGGCCCAACTCAAGCGAGACAAGTTTATCCCAGGCCACCACTGTCCATCGACTTAAGGCACTCTTCCTTCCACCAACGGAAGGATTCTAGACCCAGTCAGGTCTCGATCCCGGGATCTCCCGGGGGCAATGGTCCGTGCCTTACCAGTAGTGCCTGACCTGACTATAAACATAATGGTTGGGGGTATCTATATATACTACGTGTACATTATATGTGTGTAATTACATATGTGTGTGTTATATGTGTGTTATATGTTATATGTGTATATTATATATTGTATACATGTGTGTATTAAGAGTGTCACACCTATGTAGCCCAAGCCGCCAGACCTGCCCCTGCCCCCGTTCCAGACCTCCCGCCCCTTGCCCCCGTTGTACGTCTGTCCTGATGTCAGGTCTCACACACGATCTGGGTCACGGTCCTCTGTCCCATCCCTTTGAGAACTTCCTTGAGCGGCTGGGCCTCGTGGGCTGGTGGGTAGGGGGAGCTGGCCTCGGAGGACATACATACTTACGTACATGCATTTACATCAGCGATTTGTGTGTGTGTTGGGGGGGGGTTGTATCCTTCCCTTATCCCCTGCCAGGAGGTGCTAAGGGTGGGGTGCGGGGTTATGAAATACTGGGGTTGAAGGGATTGGGGAGGCTCAGGACGGGAAGGGAATCAAAGATGTGTCCACCAGCTGCCGCCACTCCGCCCCGCACCACCCTTCAACCCCTCTCCTCCCTTCTTCACCCTCTCGCCACCGCCACCGCCCCCTCCACCTACTCCCCCTCCCGTCTCCTCCAGGCGCCATGAGGACATGTCCGACCGCATCCTGGACTACCTGGTTACGAACTACGATGTAGACATTGACCGGTGGGCGGCGGGGGGGGGGCGGTGGGTCGTGTGAAGCAGCATGATGCGGTCGAGGGGGGTGGGGAAACTGGGAGACCCACTTCACACGTTTCGGTGGTAATACGTCGGATTGCCGCCATCGGGGGGACATCCTACACACACATACACACACACACACACACCGCCCGCGCCCCCGGTGTTTTCCTTCCCACACACCCGCGGATGCCTTTCCCCCCTCTGCTTCAATCGTCCGTGGTTCGTCATACCCCCGCCCCGAATCCCATCGCCTTTCAAGCAACCCCTTCACCACCCACCACATTGCTGATGTGCTAACCCCCCCTACTGCCCCTCCCTCCCCCCTACTTCATGAATTGCAGATCAGAGGTGGCCCGCATCACCGACCTCATCCATGGGCTGCCCGCAGAGCACCGGCCTGGGGCGGGTGGGGGCCTGTGGCGACCGGGTCGCCGGTTCCTGTTCGACATCGTCGCGAACAAGCGGAACGGGTGGGGGGCTCCGGGAGTCCGGGGTATGGGAGGGGGCTCGTACGCATACGCACGTACATACATACGTACATCTTGCGGTATCTGTGTCATCGGCTATCCTTCTTTAACCCCTGCTTCCCACCCAACCTTTTCCTCACATTTCTAAACCCAAACCCCAAACACACAAACACACAAACACACACACACACACAACCTCCCACCCCACCCCACCCCATCCCTTTCCCACCCACCCACCCACCACACACGCACTTCCCGCCGTGTGATGCTGCTCAGTGTGGATGTCGACAAGGTGGACTACCTGCAGCGTGACGCCGCGATGTGCGGAGTGAAGGTGGGGTGTGACTTCGACAGGCTGCTGAAGAAGAGCTTTATCAAGGTGGGGCCGACGAGGTGAACAGACCTCGTGGGCGGGTGCTGGGCGGGCGGGTGCTGGGCGGGTGCGAGGGGAAGGTTGTGAAAGCCGACAGCTCCGGACCCGCACTCCCTATGGGGAGAGACGGAAACGCTGACCAGAGGCTGTGCGTCTTGATGGTCAGAGCCGCTGTCGGAGAAGAGTTGGGGAATACGCGGGTGGAGGGGGAAGGGGGGCAGGTAACGGAGGGCGTTGGGGTTAAGGGTGGTGACCTCCTGACCGCCTGAAACACACCGTGCGTTTCCCTCGCTCCCCGGGGTAGGATGTCTGGTGTGCAGGCGGGTGAGCTCGATTTCTCTTCCCATCCCAAACACTCACGTTCGGCTGGCTGGTACCATCTTCCCTCTCCAAACACACGTACAAAACTTACATGCCCTGGGCAGTGGTTTTTCACGTCCTTGCTATGTCACATCTCCCGACACTGCACCCTGGCCCCTCAGAAACCCCGCCCCCGCCCTCAGCTTCACTCGTTCGTGGTTTGTCTTTTCCCCCGTGCCGCTCCCCGCCTTCCCCGTCCCCCTTTCCGTTCCCCTTTCCGTCCCCCTTTCCGTTCCCCTCTTCCTTCAGGTCCTCGATGACGAGGTGTGCTACCCCTGGAGCGAGTACCCCAACATCCTGGACCTGTTCAGAGCCCGGGAGGCGATGCACAGGAAGGTGTACACCAACAGGTAGGTGGGTGGGTAGGTAGGTAGGTAGGTAGGTAGGTAGGTATACCCAGGAGGGGAAAAGGGGGAGGGAGGGATGTGATTAAGTTGGGAGGGATTGGCGACTGTGAACTAAGCGATACTGGGGGGAAGGGGTGGGGGCGACGTTCGAGGGCACCCCAATACCGGGTCAATACCCGGATGTAGTACCAATATGCTGGACGTGGTAGTTCCATCGTTTCAAGTGCGGGTTTCAAGTTTTAACTTGATCAGTTTATTGGCTGGTTAGTCGTCTTCAAAGACACGCTATGTACACCACCGCCCCACCGGGGCGGTAGTAAACAAAGCAGAGATGGGGAAGAGCATTGGAAATACCGACGAAGAACAGCAGTCAAGAGCGGCCTCACGAATGGTAGGTAGGCCGTAGAGTCCCAAGTCAGCACGTTCAGTAGCGCTATGATGTTCTCCGAATAGTAACAAACACGGGCGCTCTGCGACTCAAAAGGAGCCCACCCGCCCTAGCACCAAGCGACGCTCGTCCGTCGTATACTGCAGAAAACCACGGCTTTCTTCGCCAGCTCTGAAAACCTGTACGTTATTTAGTTTGTTAATCGGTTGGTTGGTTGGTTACACCTGAGGAGAAGGCGCTGGGAACTGGTGGCTGTCCGTATTCTTGAGCGTCGCTAGCTGCCAGTACTGTTTGCTTTAAGATCCTCCGGGGGTGTTGTTCCATAATTGCACATTTCCTCTTGGCTCTCATTCCCTC